AACAGTATCTGTAGGAACTGTCTGATGAGCACCCCACTGCCTCTAGAGTGGAAGAAAAGCCAGCCAAAGAAAAGCATTCAGTCACATACCAACCCAAGTAAGGGAAAACTTAACTTTACTATGCTCTTTAAAAGCAAGGTCTTCTGACATGATTACTCCCAAATCTTTTGTTACCTTTTCTTTCTGTATTGTGATTTGATTGCATTTTCTATGTGGTTTCACCTTTATACTTTAGTTTTTACCATAGCACCATAAGTGGTATAGGTGGATCGATCTACATCAAACAACATGTTTTCTGTAGCTCATTTGAAGTCTGATTTACATCAGTTCAGAGGTTTGCTGTGTACTCTATAATGTCTACACTCAGAAATCCTTGTGTCATCTGCAAAAGAGATGATATGGAGCTATAATTTGTGACGTTGCTTATGTCCAATATAAGAATGAGAAAAAATACTGGAGTAAGCGTTGTACCCTAGGGGACTGAGCTTTTCACAGTTTAGGATCTAGATTTAATTTTACTTTTACACCCTGGGATCTATTCATTAGGAAATCGAAAAACCATCTTCCTATTTTGTCAGAAATTCCTTTGGTGCACATTGTGTGTGCAATACCACCATATCTTGCGGTTACCTTGCGATGATTTCAGGGTTCAACGTCCCCGTGGCCCGGTCTCTGAGCAGGCCTCCTCGTTGCTGGAGTGGTCAAGCAGGCTGTTGGACACGGCTGCTCGCAGCCTGACATATGAATCACAGCCTAGTTGATCAGGTATCCTTTAGGGGTGTTTATCAAGTTCTCTCTTGAACACTGAACCATATGAATCATGGTCACATTTCATTTGTTAAAAGCTTTCACAAAAATCTGAGTATATTACATCAGCATTTTCCTTGTCTTCATCGATATCTAAGGCCACGTGATAGTGGTCTAGCAATTGTCCTGCTCTAAACCCGTGTTGTCCAGGGTTATGTAGATTTTGTGATACCATATGTTTGTGATCTTACTTTTTAGCAGTCTTTCAAAGATTTTGTGATGTGTGATATTAGTGTTATTGTCCTCATTTTTTGCAGCTGCTTTACCACTGCTGTGTTAAGTGGCATGTACTGTTTTAAGTGCATCAGGGATAACGGCAGTGTCCATGTTCTGCCTCCAAATTTTTCTTAGATTTTGTGATTTCATTTTTTGTGCAATTCTTGGTGAATATAGAGTTCCAGGATAGAGGAAAGTTGTGAGACTCCCAGCTCCACTAATACTTATCGTAGCAGGTGCTGCCACCTTGTGTCTGCAGGAGTACCTTACTACTTTAACCCTTGGTTAGTTAACTAATTAACTAGTTAGTCTAGCAGAACTTGTCACAATGCTACAAATCATCACTTGCAGAAAACTGCTCACACTTTTGTATGACATTCAACTAAACCCTTGGTGATGGCTTGAGTTAGGCTTGCCGGTTTCCCTCTGCAAATGGTCTTAAGAAAATTAGGAGAGATATTTGTTACAGTAGAGGACAGGTCAACAAGAGCCTAGCATCCTGCTGGCCTACTAGAGTCTATCTACAAAGTCCTAGGTAGACCATAATGGGTCTGGCTCAGGAAGCATCCGAGTGGCCTCGGCTGTTGAAACAAAATTAAATCTTCACATATAACAAAGTCCTGTCACACTTAAACTCAAGAAAATACACATTACTTCCAGATTTAGTGAATTTAAAAGTGTAAGACACAAGCAACTAAACTACGGATAAAAATGTTGTTGTTGAAACATGGATCCATAAACTTATATTAACAACTCAAATGTGCAGCTGCTCCTTCAAAACAGGCTCTATCGAGACCCAAACTCAACTTCTCCATAACAGAGACTGTAAAAGAGCATTAAGAACTGACACACCATTTTTGAGACATAACAGGCGTGTATTAAGACTTCAGGGAAGATCAACAAAATATTATCCACTGAACTAAAAGAGCGCGCTGCAGCAACCGAAACTGCGCATGCAACGCAGCAGCTGCCCTGCACCCTCATATGTTCAGTAGCGTGGGTGAACTGGAGCATGTACAGACAATAAACGTCTCACGACTCTGGGTCAAAAGAATTACCAACCCAACAGGCAGCATGGCGGAGGCACAACCGGGGAGCGTCATCCTGAGACAAGGGGACAGAGCAACCTTCAATCTTGCAAGAAGCGAGAGGAGACTCAAAGGTCACATCCATCGGACCACAGGAGCCCCCACGGGGTTTCCCAGGGCCCTTAGCCTTGGATACACACTAAGGAAAGCCCAGGCAGGGTACTGCGAACTGGCGCCCAAGTCTACCAAATGAACTTCTAAAAGCTGAACCCTTGAGACATGTCCACTTCTGGGGACCTAGCAGGGGATACCACCAACGCACAGGAATACGCACACCAACTCCAACAACAGAGATTGGGAGGACAAGGCAGACCTCCCCCCCCCCACCAGGCAGGAGCAAAGAAAGACAAAAGAAAACCCCTGCAAGAGGACAACGTACCCAGGCAGAACAGAGCCGGCCGCTATAATAGGTGATAACTAGCTGTGCAGTACCCCGTGCCCCTACCAGTGACAAGAACTACCTCCTACCCAGAGACAAACAAGGGCAACAAAACCCCAGCTGACCCCAAGGGCGGCCAAGTATCGAGCAGTAAAGGACACAGCGGAGGTAGAACCCAAGGTGACTTGTGGAAGGAGGCCCCAAGCCCCAGGGAGAGTACTTACTGGGCACCTAGGGAAGGGAACCCTAGGCACATGCAGCCTGAGAACTGTGGAATATTTCTTCTGGCTCACACATTACTTGTAGAGACAGCCCACAACACAAGGCACAGAACTGAGACAAAACAGGAGCCAGAGGTAAATGACTTCTCCAGAATCGCATCAGCCAAGAACTTTCGGTTGGATCGCCGGCATGAGGGGTTTGGGGAAGGGCAACCCCCCCCTTCCCCCTCCTGGGAAGTGGGGGGGGTGTTGCGCAGACGGTGGCGTGGCGACGTGATGACGTTATGCTAGTTTGCTTATTTTCGTTTGGAGAGTTCTGTCCACTCGTTTGGCCTTCGGTAGCAATAATTTCCCCAGAATAGGGGTTTGTTTTGGGATGCTTACATTTCTGGGTGTCAGACCCGGTCAATGGCAGACATAGAATGCTCCCAACCACACGGGGGTTTCTATAGGCCAGTGTTCCTCGCACCTCTCTGAGGGGGCCCAGGTTCTGGCTCATGGTCCCCAGTAGGCAAGAACTCCATGCACATTGATGCCAGAAAGTTATACATATCCATTCAGCCTGGATAGCTCCGGGGAGCCGACGGGGCTCCCCCCAGAAAGATATATATTTTTTCTTTTGGAACAAAATTATTTTATTTGTTTTGTAATGACAATACAAATTTGTTATATTTAGCAGACATTATTTCATGACCAGTTAAATTATTTTTCAACTACAAGATATATAAAATTATCTGCTCCAACACCATGAAGAAGTCAAAGCAATTAAAAAGTATTACTACTGTCACAACTCTGACTTGAAGTTGAATGCCAATTTTGATACAGCAATTATTTTCCTGAAGCAGAATTTGAAGTTCAGAATGAAACTCACTGGGTAATAGATACATTTGCTTGTGAAATGCCCAAATGTACTCTAGGGTTGAACTTACAAACCTGAACAAGAACATGATCTACTCCATCTCACATATAGTAACAAATTAAGAATCAGGAACCAATCAACAGTGTAATTTCAGATCAGTGTTTCAAATGACTATCCACTACTAAACCCTTTTATAACAAGTTACCCATGTTAAGTTGGATTTCCCATTCAAACAAGACAAATAACCACAGACAGACTCAACTCAACAGGGCAGCTGTGTGCGCGAAGCGCTCTCATCGTGTGAACCAGACTTGGTCAAATTACCACATAACTAGCAGGCTTACTAGTCACACTGAACACAAATTTTATATTGATAAAACTACCGTACACGGGAATTACACAGGAAAAGGTTCGTGAGGATATTAGTTATTACTCCACTGGATAGTGAGAAAATGTATGGGTTGGTTAGTCTATGTTGGTGGGGTCTGGTGTATGTACATTGGGGACTGGTGTGTGTAACTTTGTGGGGATGGTGAGTGTGTGTGTGTACACTGAGGGGGCTGGTGTGTATATATTGGGGGGGGGGCCTGATTGTGTGTTTGGAGGCAGGTGTGTGTACGTCGATACACACCCTAGTTGACCCTGATCAACCAGGCCTTGATACAAGCCTGGTTGTACAGTATCAATGCCTGACTAGTCCAGCAACTAGCAGGCCTGGTCGGAGACCAAGCTGCAGGAATGTTGAGCCCTGAAATCATCACAAGGTAACTTTTGGGGGGGCTGGTGTGTGCATATTCGGGGGGAGAGGGGGGGGGGGGTCTGGTGAGTGCATATTGAGGGGGGAAGGAGGAGGAGGGCTAGTGAGTACATTTTGGATTGGGGGGACTGGTGAGCGCAATTGAGGATGGGAGGGGAGGCTGGCGAGTGCATTTGGGGGGCTGGGGGGGGGGGGGGGGGTGGAGGCTGGTGAGTGCATCTAGGGATGGGGGAAGGGGGCTGGTGAGTCATGTTGGAGAGGCTACTGTGTGTGTTTCAGCAGGTTATGCCTGAAGCAGAGAAAGCAAATGATTTCCATCCAAAAATTAACACTGCTAAGCAATACAGAATTTGAATAGTGGAGTGTAGCTAGGACACCTAGTTACCACGGTAATAAACACAACAAATATGCATGGAGAGGGGATTCAGATGATGCAGGAGCTCTTCTTACCTTCTCTATAGAGGTTTATTTATTTAAGTCAAAGTTATCCATTCACTTGGTCATTGATTATGTTCTGATACAAGTACAGTACTGTAAATCCTATATTGTTGAACCATGATTATTTACATTTGTACAGTGTAGACAAATAGTATAGTGGAAAATAGTTTATAAACAAACATTATCTATTGATATTATTTACTTCCAACGTAAATATAATATGGTAATACAGATCTCAATAACATCATCATCTTGAGAACAAAAGTGAATGAAATAGTAAATGAGCTAACCTTCTATTGTGCCTGTGGCAGTAGTAGCCGTGGGCAGCATAAGGCCGGTGTCCCGTATATCATCAAACCGTGTCATCAATCCTGGAAGTCTGAAGGAAAAAATATTGTTTATTAAGTTATATCCCATTACAACATGAAATATGGCAACAAGTTTACTTTCACTGAAAACCAATGTTTCTATTTGAGTAGTAATATTAGATCTACTGGATGAATCAACACTGAAAAAAGATTATGGCATTTGGAATAAAGCAGATAGTTAAGTAATTAAACATTACTTATTAGATGAAAACTGCAATGTTGTTGTTGTTGTTTTAGATTCAGCTAATCGGAACAAAATTTCCATGTAGCACAGGCAATGGTGAGCCCGTAAGACAAAATGCTAGTAAATCTTTTGGCTGTGGTAGGTAATAGTGGTTGACTAACAGAAAATATACTTGACACGATAGGTGGTTACCTTGCGTTAATTTCAGAGCTCAATGTTCCCGTGGCCTGGTCCAACCAGGCTGTTGGACACGACTGCTCGCAGCCTGACATATGAATCACAGCCTGGTTGATCAGGTATCCTTTGGAGGTGTTTATCAAATTCTCTCTCTCTCTCTCTCTCTTGAACACTGTTAGAGAAAGAGAGATAACTGTCGGCCATTTATGCCCCATTATGTGTAGTGGAAGCACGTTGAACAGATTTGGGCCTCTGATGTTGATAGTTCTCTCTCGGAGTACCTGTTTCACCTATGCTTTTCAATGGGGGTATTCTGCACATCCTGCCATGCCTTCTGGTCTCATGTAGTGTTATTTCTTTGTGCAGGTTTGGGACCAGCACCTCTAGTATTTTCCACGTGTAAATTATTATGTATCTCTCCCACCTGCTCTCGAGAATGCAAATTTAGGAATTTTAGTCTCAATAGTTTAGATGTTTTACTGAGTGGATTCTAACAGTAAAGGATCTGCACACTATTCAGGTCAGCAATTCTCCAGCTTTGAAAAGGCCTGTCATTGTGCAACAGTATTTCACTCTAGACTAGCATCATAAAAATTATCATCATTGGTACAGCATCTCTAGTTTGAAAGGTTCTTGTTATCCAACCTGTCATTTTTCTTGCAGTTTGACGGCTACTTTATTGTGTTCTTTAAAGGCAAGGTCTTCCGACATAAGTACACCCAAATCCTTTACATTGCTTTTTCGTTGTTATGATTTGACTGAGTTTTGTATGCAGTTTCCATTTTTATACATTTTTTTTCTGTAGCACAGGAGCTGAAACTTATCTTCATTAAATACCATATTATTTTCTGTATCCCATCAAAAGACTTTATTTACATCTAATTGTAGGTTTGCTGTGTTCTCTATGTTGTATAATCTCATAAAAATCCTAGTGTCATCTGCAAAGGATGATATGGTACTATAGATTGTGTCCTTGTCTATGTCTGATATGAGGCTGAGAAAAAGTACTGGAGCAAGCACAGTACCCTGAAAGACTGAGCTCTTCACGGTTGATGGTCCGGATTTTATTTTGCTGACTATAACACATTGAATTCTGTTAGTCAGGAAATTGTAGATCCAGAAAATATCTACGCATGAAACACGTCAGGCTGCGAGCAGCCACATTCAACAGCCTGGTTGACCAGTTCAGCAACCAGGAGGCCTGGTCGACGACCGGGTCACGGGGACGCTAAGCCCCGGAAGCACCTCAAGGTAACCAAGGCAAGGTAGCAAGCTTAGCACTATGGACAACTATATTTTCTGATGTTTCAACTACGAGGGATATGATTTTTTAACGTCTTGGCAACTTGTGCCTAAGGGTTCCTGGCACCACAAGGGAAGGTAGGCAGTTGTGTTGGTTATCAACACTCAAAGTTCATTTAATATTTCCTTGAATCACAAAAAGTTGGACAGCATTCACTATGGAATATTGTTTAATATGTTGAGACACACTTTATGAGATAACTGACTGTGTTAAGTTCCTGTATCACTGAAATACCTTTAAATATATATATATAGTTTTTTGAAGAGCTCATCTCGCGTGGGCTTTCCCCTCTCATACCCTCAATGACAACCATCAACAAAAGGATGATCTACATTCATATCCTAGAAAAACACTTCCAAGTCATATAGTGTTCGACCAGGTCCATCTGACCTTCAAAACAGTCCTTTGACTAATAATTGCTGCTAGTGGTTGATGGACGAATAAAATGTCACCTTTTACTAAAAATAGATAACACTCATTGTGCAAAATATTAAAGGATATATCATTCACATCCAATTTTTTCACATGCTTTACTGGTGTGGGCTTGAAAGAAGAAGAGACTGCCTTAGAATAAGGCTAAATAATACCTGGGACATCAATAGCTAATACTGTACCATAAACCAAGTTGAGCTTCCAAAATTGCCATACCTGAAATAACTTTTTATATCTACTTTAAAGTGTGGTAAGGGAGGCTATTCACAACTTACGCCATGTATATGCTGATGCCCTGTTGGGAATACAGTAATGCTATTTGCCTTCTTGGGATACAACTAAATATGCACCAAATCTCCTGTTTCAAACTTTAAATATCTCAACTATCTGATCTGACATTGCAGGACTAGGATAAATAAACACACTCACTTTGCAGGTGGAATATTGTGTTTCTTCGTCAAATCTGCTCTAAGTCTTTCACCATAGTGTTTGTAGCACTCCACCAAAGTGTTGAAGGCGCAGTCTCTCACCATTGCAGTTGGGTCTGACAAAAGTTTGACAATGTGTGGGATGAGGCGCGAGACTGTCACCGATGATGCACCATGACTAAAAATAAAAGAATAATGTTTACAGTACATTTTCATTAAAAAGGATGCATTTTTCACATGGTAAACTTAATAATAATCAATGGTATTATTGTGTAATAAAATAATATTTAAAACTACTGAAATGATACGTAATGTGTTAACTGCCTATATAGTACAGGTATGAATACCAAGAATACATATCTAAAGTTGGCATTGTTTACAAAATATGCTTCAACATATAACTAATATTATGGTGTCAATATTCAATGACATAACTGCTTTCCACAATTCTGGAAAAACTGGGTTGTCTTCTAACTTATGAAATTGTGGAAAAACTGTTCTGTAGTCTTCTAACATACAAATTGTGGAGGAATTGTATTGTCTTCTAACCTACAAATTTATTGAACTGGATTGTACCTGGATGGGGTTCTGGGAGTTCTACCCCCCAAGCCCAGCCCAGGGTCAGGCTCGACTTGTGAAAACTGTATTGTCTTCTAACCTACAAATTGTGGAGGAACTGTATTGTCTTCTAATCTACAAAGGAACCTGCATTAAAAACAAATCCACTTAAATCTCCTTTACATATTCCGGCCCTTAAATACAAATGGATACTTATTGAAATATTGCTGTGCTATACAATAAAAGGCCTTTATTTAACCAATGGTTTATGACTATTTTAAATATTGTACTTTGTATGTGTTTTACTTTACAAGTGAGAAAGTTATGTGGTAGATTGAGACAAATAGTTAAACTGTCCTTTCCTTAGTGTTGGGTCTGGTGTGTGTCCACTGTCCAAAGAACTTGTTTGTATCACAATTACAGTATACTTTTTACTCTTATTATTATTACATAGGAATTATTGAATATTGTAAATCTTATATATTCTTTATTTAAATTTATATTCTTTAATTTTGTTTACTATTTATAAGACAATAACAATGGTTTATGTATTGACAGTTAACCCTTAGACTGCGCTGTTTGGAGCATATTACCGCGCATATTGGGGGCTTGTACTGAGTAGCGAAAAATATTCAAATTATGTGAAAATAACTTAAAAATTGTAAACAAATCTCCAACTTATTGGCTTCAGTGTCGTGAAACTTTCATCAAAATATTTTCAAAAATGGATTTTAGACAAATATAAAAATATGAACTTTTTTTTGATAAGGAGAACAGCTTCTAATAACTAGAACTGACGGATTATGCAGTAATAAAGAGATACAAGCACCTGTCCAATGCTCAGAGAAGAAGAATAGTGATAAGAAGTGTCCACAAAGTCGATATGAAGTTGGTGCCTTCATATCATTGCTGAGTAATACATGATAACACAAATAATAATGAATAACTATGTTAATATACTCTATTTTGTTATATATCATATAAATACATTGTCCAAAGTTAATATTTGTTACTTTCATCAATGTCCCAAAAAAATTTTGTTAGGGGATTTTTTTTTTAAGATTTAAGTTTTTTCTCCTTTGTTTATTATCTGATTTTGTTTTAACCTTTACATCCTGGAGAGTGCATGTTTCCCTAACGATGTGAAGATAGAATGAAATTGTTCAACAAATAAATCAGTCACAACTCACAAAACTTGGGACTTTAAATTTTTTTGGCTGATTTTTTCTCTGATTTCAAACTATTTTCTTTGTCTCTTTAGGTTGTTTTGATGATTAGGGACCATATTAGGGCTTTTTCACTTATATAAAGTATACCCTAAATATATCCCCTAAATCATTATAATTATTATAATTATCCCTATATTTTGTGTTTTTTGGGTTATTTTTTCTTGACTTCATTTCAACACATATTGACCTACAACTTTCACATATTCGAGTACGAATGCCAAACAATGTTTATTAAAACATACAATTAAATTAACAAATTAAAACTACCTTTATTCATTGTTGATAACTTCAACTTCAATTATCTCTGAAACTAGAGTTTCAACTTTGAGTGGCTTCTAAAATTCCAGTTTTTGACCGATTCTCACTATTTTGACATATTGTGTGCTCAGCTGTCTGTTCTACAATCCCTTCAGAATGGATTTTTCATAAACTTTATACATTTGGAGTTATAATTTTTTTTGTCTAAATTTGCCGCATATTTCAAATGCCTTATTGATGATTTTTTTTTTACAGTAAACTATACTGAAAACCTATATTCTAATTTGATGAAAATGAAGATCATATGCTATTCTGAGAGAATAATAACATTAAATGAACAATTGGTGATAGTTCATATTTTATATTCTGAATTGAAAATCTGAAGTTTTCAATATTCAATTTTAAAATTAATTTTGATTCTCTTGTTTTTCAAGTTACGTTGTGATCATTTAGACAAAGTTGGAGCATTTGTCTAGCTGATTATTAAAAAAAATTGTAAAGTGTTTGTCCAAGTTTTAAAAACTTATGTTAAATTATAAATTTTTTGTCAAATCATATATGTATGTATTGCGCGGTCTAAGGGTTAATAGAGTGGCCCGCAGGCCCACATACCCACCACAGCCCGGTTGGTCCAGCACTCATTGGAAAAAATGATCTAATATTATCTTGAAGATGTCCACGGTTGTTCCGGCAATATTTCTTATACTCGCTGGGAGGATGTTGAACAACTGTGGACCTCAGATGTTTATACAGTGTTCTCTGAATGTGCCTATGGCACCCCTGCTCTTTACTGGTTCTATTCTGCATTTTCTTCCATATCGTTCACTCCAGTATGTTGCTATTTTACTGTGTAGATTTGGGACCTGGCCCTCCAGTATCTTCCACGTGAATATTATTTGGTATCTCCCGTCTCCTTTCTAGTGAGTACATTTGTTGAACTTTGAGACGATCCCAATAATTTAGGTGCTTTATCATGTCTATGAATACCGGATATACCTCCTTGATCCCTGCTAAATGGGGGTTCTGGGAGTTGTTCGATTCCCCAAGCCCTCCAAGGATATGCCGAATTATATGTTCTCTGTGTTCCCTCTATTTCAGCAATCTCTCCTGCTCTGAAGGGGTGAGTGAGTACCGAGCAGCACTCAAGACGGAACAGCACAAGTAATTTAAATACTGTACTGTAGTACAACCACTTTAATGGAACCCCTGGATTTGAAGGTTCTCAATCTATCCTATCATTTTTCTGGCTGACACAATATTTGCTTGGTTATGCTCCCTAAATATTAAGTCGTTAGATATTATTCCTAGATCCTTTACATGCTGCTTTCCTACTATGGGCAGATTTGATTGTGTTTTGTACCCTGTATCATGGTTAAGGTCCTCATTTTTACCAGACTTAAGTACCTGGAATTTATCACTGTTAAACATCATGTTATTTTCTGCTGTCCAGTCAAAAATGTTATTAATATCTGCTTGTAGCTTTTCAATGACTTCAGCAGAGGTAATTTTCATGCTGATTTGTGTCATCTGCAAACGATGATACAAAGCTGTAACTTATATTTTTGAGTATGTATGTTATAAGAATGAAGAAAAGCAGTGGTGCAAGGACTGTACCTTGAGGTACAGGGATTTTAACTGTGCTTGGACACAATTTTATATGGTTGACTGTTACTGTATTCTGTTTGACATAAAATTGATTATCCACTGTCCTACTTTGCCTGTTATTTCCACTGATCTCATTTTGTGTTATCACTCCATGGTCACATTTATCAAGTGCCTTTGCAAAGCCCGTGTATACCACATCTGCATTTTGTTTTTCTTTTAATGCCTCAGTGATTTTGTCGTAGTGGTCAAGTAGCTGCGAAAGGTATGATCTTCCCGCTCTAAATCTGTGTTGGCCTGGGGTTGTGAAGGTCATTGGTCTCCATGAAACTGGTGACCTGAGGCCAGATTCACGAAAGCACTTACGCAAACACTTACGAACCTGTACACCTTTTCTCAAATCTTTGGCGGCTTTGTTTACAATTATTAAACAGTTAATAAGCTCCGAAGCACCAGGAGGCTGTTTATAACAATAACAACAGTTGAATGGGAAGATTTCATGCTTTTAAACTGTTTAATAAATGTAACCAAAGCCGTCAAAGATTGAGGAAAGATGTACAGGTTCGTAAGTGCTTGCGTAAGGGCTTTCATGAATCTGGCCCCTGACTCCTGATCACTCTCTCAAATACCTTTATTATGTGGGACGTTAGTGCAACTGGTCTATAAGAATTAGCCAATGCTTTGCTCCCTCCTTTGTGTAGAGGGGTTAAGTCTGCTGATTTAAATGCATCTGGTATATCCCCACGTGTCTAAGCTCTTCTTCCACACTATTTAGAGTGCCTGTGCTACTGGTACTTTGCATTTCTTTATAAATATTGAATTCCGTGAGTCTGGACCCGGGATTGAGTGCATGCGCATGTTGTCAATTTCTCTTTCAAAGTCCACCACGCTCGTGTTGATATCAGTTATAATTTCAGCGGTTTGAATATCACGCATAAAGAAGTTGTCCCATTCATATACTTCAATTATGTCTACCCTTACTCTTCATCTTTGTGGAGAATGTAAATTAAGCTTGTTCTAAATTATCTTCATAAGGAAGGATTCAGGTACCTGGGATAAACTTTGTCATCCATTTCTGTACGTGTTCATGTATATTTATGTCATTGTAAAGCACGCACTCGTCCACCCAAACACCACCTTCCTTCCCTCCCATGCTCACTCTTTTACCCAACCTTTCATTATAAACACCTTTATAACCAGCACACACAAACATCGTAAACATACCTTTCACTTGATTATGATCATGTATGGCAAATCCAGCAACAATAATAATGCCTTGCTTATGCCCGATACAACAGATAATGAGAGGAGTGACTTACCTAATCTGTCGGTGACGGCGGGTATGACGGAGGAGAGATAGGGCCGGAAGTCTTCCTTCATGCGCTCCACCAAGAATGTCATAACCTCCAGCCCATTCAATGTCACCTGCAAATCAAAGCCTAAATTAGGCTAACTGGATATTATGATCCTCGATAACAAATTACTATTGCCTTCTCTGAAAAGCAAAAATATATTGGTAACTACATATAAATACTAAATAATAGCACGAGCTGGTGGAACTAACCCTTACTTTAGAGCATCATGTGCTCTTATAAACAAATATGAGTATAGGAAACGAAGAAATATAACACTTACTCTAAATGGTGTGGAACTGAGCCGTGTTCAGAAGTACAAGTATCTGGGCATGTATGTTGGATACACATGTGAGAGCAAAAATGCTGAAATAAATCATATCAGCACCTTATGTAAAGCCCGTCTGCATCCTCTAAAAGCACTGGCTTTTTCTGGTAAAGGTGATGGGGTACCTATCTTACGGATGTTATACATAAGCACTGTTCGGTCCCTGATAGACTACGCAGCACCCGTTTTGTCTTACACAGGCCAAGGCAGAATTAAAAAAATAGAGCTGATACAGAACGAGGCTATGAGGATTATTCTTGGATGTCAAAGAAATGCAATGATTGAAATAATGAGAATGGAATTAAATTTACAGAGTGTGTGTGATAGAGTCCGTGACATTAACACTAGAGTAGCTATTCGTTTCATGCGGAGAAAAGGAGGGGATAAGCTGTTTGAGAGCGTTCAGACCTGCTTGAGTGACGTACACACTTCCAGGAAACTGAGGGAGACACGCTACACGAGGGGATTAGCTCATGACCTCAGGGAATACGATGTACTTGACTGCTGTAAACCCTCTCGACAGTGTAATATGTCTGCTCCCTGGAAAGTACAGAAAATAGACGTCGAAATTGTACCCCTCAATGTGAAAAGATTCATCATGAACCGGGACAATTACGGTGTTTGTATGGAAGCATGATATCTCGGTTACCAAGAGGCAACAGTTTACATGTGTATTGCGACGGGTCGGTGGCGGAGGATGGCAGGGCAGGGTGTGGTGTCCTAATAAGGGAATATACGGAGTTTGGGACTGTGGACAGGAAAATTGAACTCCGGCTTAGTAATTATATATCATCCACACAAGCTGAACTGCAGGCCATTCTGGCGTGTTTGAAGGAAGTACGTCATGACGACAAAAAAGTTTTTGTATTTGTCGATAGCCGAGGAGCACTGGAGTCCTTAAACAGTCGAAACCCAGTCTTCATGTCTATAGTTGAGGATTGTAAGAGAAGAATAGCTGAGATACAGCTGAAAGGTCATAGTGTGAAATTCATGTGGATTCCATCTCATGTTGGAATAGTGCTCAACGAGGTGGCGGATGACTTGGCCAAACGTGCCACATCAAAACCACAAATTGACATTGAATGTGAATTCACAATGAGACAAATAAGAAGCAAAATCAGAAATATTCAGGCACAGGAAGGAGTGGAGAGGAGAGGGATAATGTATGAGAGAAGTCTAACCATGCAACACTACATGTATGTGAGTCAAAACACCCTTTTCACTTATGGTAAAAGGAGAAATGCTTGGAGTGACTCTCTGTACATGCGGCTCAGGCTTGGGTACAAATATTACTGGGAATATGGGATAGGCGTTCATGATAATGACACGAAGTGTAAACTATGTGGTATGTTAAGGTCTCACACCCTTGCCCATTATGTTCTTGATTGTCCGTTGATTAATGTATATAGAAACACTGAGATAAGGACTGTTCCTGAGCAAATAGCCTGGATGTGTCACAAAGGAAAGGTTGATGATATTCTTGAGAGATATAAGAATTTTGCACCAAGACTAATATTTTGTTGAATTATCCGTATAACTAGGTCATAAAAGTATTTGTGTACGTCTGATACCATACTACTTGTGAAGGAGGAAATGTACATGTTTATCTCTCAGAATGTTTGGTAACAGGTTTATTGTTTGTGATGTGTGTCTATGTATGTACTAACACGTTGTACTGAACGGGGTGAGAATAGCTTGAGCTACCTCATCCCTTTGTGTGTATTTTACCTCAATAAACTTATTTCAATTTCAATTTCAACAAATAGTTCAGCGTCACAAGGACCCGCCAAATATTTTGTCGACATTTATTGTACTAAACCTTATATAGGACTCTGGTTTGGTGGTTACAGTCTTTCATTAAAAAGGTTAAGATTCAAAAAAATGCTGCAAACCATTAATTACTCAAAAATAAGATTGTAACAGGTAATAAACGGTATTGATAAAACGCCATTAACGAAAATCATTGCTAAAATAATGCACTGTATTCAAAAACATTTATGAACACTTCTGCAAGGTACCACCACAATAATGTCAGCAGAGGTGCAATAGGTTTTCTGAGAGACAGTGTCTCGGGTATGCAGAGGCCCGAGACTGTTCAACACGCTTTCACTACACATAAGGGGCAAGGAATAATATTCTGCGATTCAAAGTCTGCTCTTCAAGCAATCGAAAACTTCTCTTGGAAGATCGACAGCAAGAACCTCATACTCCCAATTATAAATGACCTAATTGATGCAGAGAGTAAAGGGTCTCGAATCTCCTTTGTATGGATACCTTCACACATAAATATAACCCATCATAATGAGACAGACATTGCAGCCAAATTAGCGTGTAACAAGTTTGAAGTTGAATTAGATCTAGGTATCCCCATCTCTGCTGTCAAAACTGTATTGGTCCAAACATTCAGATCTGATAGGAAAGAACTTACTGACTCCCAACGACCTGAAAGTACTAGTATAAAAAGCTATGATTTGTTCAGATCTGAAACCTACATCTATGGACAGCACAAAACGTCCACTAGACTGTGCGACACAGTGGTTGCAAGGATCAGGTTGGGTTACCGTTACCTGTGGCAGGTGGCTGCAGGTGACGGGTCTCCCAATCCTGGGCACTCCAGTTGCAAACTCTGTGAGCAGGAACCACGGCATGATCTCCCGCACTACATCACTGAATGCCCAGTTATTAGACCTTTCAGACCAGTTGGCATGAGGTACCTGGAGCTTTGCAATTACTTTATTCACTCTCGTATTCTTGAAGATATCCTCACAGTGTACCCAAAATTTTCCAGTGCAGGCTACTAAACACATGGCCCTGTATGACTAACCATCCTGCGAGATGGGGACTTGTATTACCACTGCTACCTTATTCAATCTTGTGTTGATGATATCCTCAAAATGCATCCGGAGTCTGCCAGTGCAGACCGCTTATCACATGCCTCTGTATGACTAACCATCCTGTGTGATGGGGATTTTTTAGCATCACCTAGTTAGCTTTTTTGACACACTGTACTCCACTTCATATAGTCTAGGGTAGCTGCACTGATGCAGATGTACCTCATGTATTAATAAAAAAAAAAAAAGGGGCATAAGTGGCCGACCCCTCACAGTGTTCAAGAGAGAACTGGATAAACACCTCCAAAGGATACCTGATCAACCAGGTTGTGATTCATGTCAGGCTGTAAGCACCCGCGTCCAACAGACTGGTTGACCAGTCCAACAACCAGGAGGCCTGGTCGGGGACCAGGAAGCAGGGAGGTTGAGCCCCGAAATCATCGCAAGATAACCTCAAGATAAGGTTCACAGTTCAATGTCACAGTTCACAAAGTGAGAGTACTGTATGCCATTACGTACCTGAAGCCAAACATTCATATACTACAAGGAACCAATCAAAACAAATCATACGACCACCAACAAAACAATTAGTGAGTAGGACAGAACCACGTCCATATAAACCAAAGATACATATTTGTTGCGAAAGGAAGAGGAGAATGACAAGAAATGTCAAGATTATACCACCAACTTTGACAAATTATAGTCAGGACACACACACGGTGGTTGTCTATCAATAGATAATAAGCAGAAGTCAAATAAAACCCTAAAAAAAACTAAACTAGCGTAATGAGCAACATTACTCACAGTACACAGAAAGTAATCACATTAACGTGATGTATCAATGAGAAAATCCGTTGGAGCCGGGATGAGGATTAGAACCTATGTGGTGGGTAGTCCCACGCACACGCCCCCGGACAATCAGGCCACCACATACCTGCTTGATGGGGTTCTGGGAGTTGTGCTCAACTCCTAAAGTCCAGCCCGAGGCCAGGCTTGATGGAAAGGATTGCAACCTTGAGTTCTGCTGAACATACAAGGGTTTCCTGAGGCTTCCACTGAAGCCGGACCGGGATTTTCACACAATTCCCCCCCCCCCCCCCAAGCACTATGGCTGTCGTCAAGGAATGTAGGAATGTTCTACCTCTGACGCTCCTCTTTCAATACACATGGTCAATCCTTTTGACCATGTGGTGGCCTGATTGTCTGGGGCGTACCCGTGGGACTACTCACCGCATCGGTTCTAATCCTCATCACGGCGCCTAACCGATTTTCTCATTACACTCAGTTGCCAACATACAAAGTCACAACACGTAGAACCGATATAATCAACTTTAAATTAGATATTCTCACAGAGGCTAATTCTCTCAAAATTACCTATAATTTTCTCTCATCTTTTTTTTTCATTCCATGTAATCTGTTATCATTTTTTTGTCTATAAATTTTGCAAGTATTTACCTCCTTAAAATTTTCTTAGATTAAGGACCTGCCCGAAACGCTGCGCGTGCTAGTGGCTTTACAAGACTGTAATTACCATATTTGTATCCTCACATTCCTTATGTACATTCTTGTATATGCATAAATAAATAAATAAATAAATGAGGCAAATGCAGTGCTCGCAGCCTTCACGCAATTAATGACTAGGCTAATTTAACAATGAAATTTGAATATCAGAGTACGATCTTCTCAGATGTGACAAAAAACACGTTACAGGGTGTGCTCGGACTGTGTGTTTTAGACTCACTAAATCTCAAATGAGCTCCTTAACGCCATAATTGATTGAAGGGGTGACAGTCAAACTTGAAAAGCAAAAGTTAATGTTCTCATATAGAAATCACTAGATACAAATCCTAAACAATTTAAAAATGAACTGATGAAAATTGAGCACTCTTGGAAAAACCTGCAATTCCAGCTACAAA